TGTGAGACTACYGGACATTGTAGGGTTACATCAGCTATCCAGCTAAGGACATAGAATCCTTATTTTTCATGCTATATAAAATACTGGAGTGCAGATGTGTGTTCTCACCAGTGTGACACTCTCCGGATCCCCTACCCCAGCCCTCTCACCAACCATGTACTTGCTCCCAGAGCTCTCATTGCTGAGAATTGGAAGACCAGATGGGTATTTGCAAATGGAATCCAAACAGGGATTTGGATTTCTGCAGGCAGAGGGATGGAGGAAGAAAAGATAATTTAAATTTTACTGTGTCCACATACTCAAACAGAAAATTAGAAGGCAGTATTCAGTGTGTATAACAAGGTATTTCCTAGATCTCCAGGTCTCACATARCTGGAATGCAACTAATCGAGGAGAAGATGGGCCACAGCTGGAAATCAGTAGATGATACAAGGAGATATACATGGGCATACACAAATAAACATAATAGGAGTTGGCAGGCAAATGTGTTAGAGAGAGATGTGTTTTGCTAAATAGACTAAACAATGATGGAAATATTTCCTTACAAACTGTAATCAAATCAGATAAAACAAGTAGTTGGTACATTCGTTTCTGCTTTATCGCAGTCAATACTGTTCTGTCAGATGCATCTAGGCAAAGTTCCCAAAGGGATATCAGGACCATTAGACACAGGGTTTCTTTCTTTTGGCAGCCTTGGTCCATTGCTGTTTATCTGGCTTTGCTTTTGCTCAAGGAAGAACTGAAGGAAGCACAAGAATTCTACTGCCAAGGAACAAAATCCAGTTGTTTATGAGCTATGCTGCAACTCTGCATTTCTATGTAGGGGTTATCTAGATCAGACATCACCACAGTAGCCTAATGTTGCATCAGGTAAAATAACTCAGCATAGGCTAATCAGTCTTCATAGCTGACAGTAGCTTTTATCCTTCCTGTGTTTCTACAAGTGTTGCTCTAGAGCTTCCTGCATCCAGGGATTATTTGCCAAGTGGCTTGAGCAGCACAGTAAACAAGAAGAAAATATCAATTGTTGCTGTTGTTGCTTCAAAGTGTAAGGAAGTTTGACAGCAAGCCCCAAACCCTCCTGAACTTTCAGAACAKAAACAGCTCTTGGAATACAGCCCCTCACCTGTAAGGGCCTCAGGTTCCCTGCTGCAAATGCAAATTTTACTTCAACTTGCAGAAGAGATATGTAAGCAAGAATTGCTGCTCTGTACCATTAATGGTAATTTACTGTTCATATGCAAAAATCAATCTCCACTGCTTACTGTCCTTTGAAAATGTGACTTTTTGTTCCTCACAGTAGCATAATGTATTTTTCTGAAGTGCAGTTTACTGAATTGTTCTTAATGTCTAAGTTTTAAATGAAATTATTTGGATTTTTAATTTTTAAGACAAGATAAGGGCAGACATAAATATCTTAGTCAAAGTCATGGCACTACAATTATTATTTATGCTAATCTTTGAGATAGACTTTGTTGTTAGGGAGCCAAGCTGTTACATATTTTTTTCCTAATCTACTCTGTATTCAAATTTCACTGCCAGCTGGAATTAARTATTAGAGATTTTCTTTGTCATTATAAAGTAGAATTATTATAGAGATAATTATTATTGAATATTTCAGCATACATCCTGTATTTAATCTGTTTAACGCACACTAAATGGAGTCCAGATTGCAATACCAAGAGGATGAAGAAGACATGAGGTAAAAAGAATTCAATTAATAAAAGCAAATCTATATGTTAAAAAAGTACATACTTTTTTGCTTTATATCATTGTTATAAAACATCTTGTTTGGAGATACAGAATACATAGCTAAATCTTAATATTTACAGAAAAAAAAGCATTGTAAGTACATATTTTTGAGAAAGTATATTGCTAGTAGAAAGCATAAACCCATGAGTGCCAGAAACCTCTTGTTTTGTATTTGAGTCCTGTTTCCTTTAATTATCCTTTTGTCTACCAGGAGTATTTCCGGTGATATGAGTGTGGATATAGAGGCAGTGCACCAAAGGCTGTCTTCAAGAGAGCCAAACAGCGCCAGGTTTTAAAAACTGAAGACCCCTCATCTCCTCACCAACGACAGAGCCAGAGGTCTGGAGGAGCTCTCTGGTCCAGCACTCTGTCTTTGGTGGGCATGTTACCATCACACCTTTGGACATGACTATGCTTACAGCTCCCTCCAGCAGGGACACACCGAGCATGGGGCACAGGGTGGCATCCAGGCGGATTTGGAAGATCTCCAGAGAAGGAGACTCCACTTTCAGTCCACTCTGAAAGAACAGCCTTGAAATAAAAGCCATGGTCTGCACATACACTGAAAACTTCATTTGTTCTATTTTGTTTGTTTCACATTATGAAGATCACATTTCAAAGCGATATTTGTTTAATTTTTAGATTTTCTTTATGAAGTCATTTTTCTTGCAGAAAAATAATCAACAGAGGAAATTTTAGGTCCAATTCATGCTATGCAATTATCATTTGCCTGTGTGAGCGAGAATTAACCTTTATTTTTCATAATTCTAAAATTCTGTGTGTGTGTATGTGTATATACATACAAACTTTGTGCATGTGTATGTTTGTGTATATACATTCATATGTATTAATAAAATTAAGGAGATTCTATTAAAATTTGTGGGATCCAAATACTATTTATTTGTGATGCGTGATCATCAGGCTGGGAAGCTCACAGTGTGTAGCAACCCTCTGTGGCAAGGGCCCATAAAGTCAGTCCCCAAAAGTGAATTATCTTGACTCTCTCCTGGACTTCATTCTTTTATTTTTGTTTTCTGCCATTGCTTATCTTTGAGATGAATTTTCATAAACCAGCCTCTGACAAGTTCTTCCCAAGAAACAGATGTGTTTATTCTAGCTTTATGACTCATGCCCTGCCATGCCAGGCCCAGGCCAGAGAGAAATACAAGAGATGATCCATAGCCTGTTGACTTCAATGGGCATAAAGGCATAAATTATATATTTCTATGTAATTAAAATATTAACCCGTGAAGACTAACATTAGCTCAGTGAAACATACCTTACATCCAATAAGTTTTTCTCCTTTTGTAAGAAAGATGCTTACCAGAAATAGGAAAAAAAGATTCAGATTTCATTTGTTCCAAGTGTCTGTGGATATGAAATATTGTGATGAGCTCCCTGGTCACATAGTGTTTAAGTAAAATTATGCTATGTGATTTTCTCCAGCCTGTTGAAAACAAGGCATGTAAATTAGAAAATAGACCCTGTTGCAGGATATCAAATCATGAAATAATAAGAACTCACAGTAAAATATCCCCATTAAGATAATGTACTTAAGTGAGAAGCACCACATTTTTTACTGCATCCCTTCATTTTAATGTAGCTACCTCTGCATGTATTTTAGTTCACTGGTGCCAAAAGGAAAATGGCCTCTAAGAAAGGGCAATGGTCTTGTCTTTACCAATTTCGCTTCCATTACATTCTCTTAAATTATCTGCATTTCATTTTATTAGTTCAATCTCTTGTATTTGGTATCTCATGTCTTCACTCCGCTGTTTCCTCAGACTTTTTATGTGACTTCCAGCCAGCCTGCTTTTTGTTGGGCATTTTTGTAGCAAGCCTGGGATTTCTTTGTTCATCAAGCTTCTCATTTCTATATTGACCAATACACACTAATATTTTCAGAAGTCTACAGTCATGCCATACAAAATATTGAGATTGGATGCAAGCGATCTATGACCCTGAAATTATTTTCATTTAATAAACTTTTAATCAAAGCACCGGATTCTCAGCTGTGAGTCCTGAGGCAGTCAACGAAATACATCAGCCAATGTAGCCAGCATCTTTGTACTTGCCTGCATTGCATTTCAATGAAAAGAGACAGAAATAAAGCATAAAACTTTGACTACTTTATTTATTGTTTCATTTTTTCTCCAAAGCCAAGTTGTGCTGCAAATCATTACATGTCACATTGATATGGACAGTAGCTGTTTCATTTTGGAGGAAGGCAATAATGTAAACCCTATGAAACAATAAGATTGTTCAGGCTGGAAGATGATAGTGAGTTTTGTCTTACTGTRTTAACTTGGTAAAACTAAAGAAGCCCTGTGCCCCACATTGTCTGAGTTATGAATATATTTTCAGAAATATATCCACATTGTAAATAAATTTCTGATAATGATGATGGAGAAAATAACCCTGAGAAGTTTCCTCCTCTCTCCTCTTGCTACATCCAAACTTTTAATGTAAGCACAAGGAAATGAAATGCTGTGAGTCTAGCTTGTGTAACACTTAAATCACACTCAGCTACCAAGGCAAGCACATTCACAGTTAAAGCTGAAACTGCATCCTTAGCTATCTTGCAATAGTAAAATGGTCTGCAATTTCATGTCATGTTACAAACAGATAAGAAAAATTATGACATTAMACTGAGTGTTTCTATGACAATTTGGTTTAAAAGCAAGATCCCTACAGAAAGCCTGCTGGGAAGGATCCCTGAGAATACACTACAGAACCACAGTTTTCCCTTTGAGAAAAAGAAAAAAAAGAAATACTATCTCAAATTCAAAAATTGTTGACTGAGAACGAGTGGTCAGAGAAAAGAGTTGTTAATGCAGAGAAACTCCTTCCCTCCCTGCCTGCCTTGACAAACACACACACACACACGCACACACACACACACACACACAAACACATGCAGGCTTCTCTATAGTTTAAGAGTTATGGATTCCTGACTATAAATGTCAGCCAAATTGCCTCAATGTAACACTGTCTGTTGTCTGTACTGGGATAACACATAAGCACAGGGAGGKGAAACTTAACTGCCTTGTACCACGATGAGCAGATCTGGTGTTAAAAAGTATTAGTCCTTTAACTCAGTGGATGTTACTCTTGGCATGGCTTCAAGGTGATTTTGGTATGAGTACATACATGAGAAAGCAAAGCTAAGCAAACTGGGGCCAACTTCTGAACTCCCTGTGCTGGAAACCATTGGGAGGGAGTTGTGTGTAAGAAGTTCAGAATTTGACCCCTGTGAGAGCAAACTCGAGCAGCTGCGACGCCGGCCGGCCTCAGCACCACGGAGCTGCTAGTCGAACCAGTGGTCTCCCATGCAGGTCCTGTTCCACTCCAGGCCACAGTTCCAGCACCACTCGAACCTGCAGCGCGGGCGAGGACACTTCATGTGCATGCAGCCCCCTGCAAGGCAGAAAAAGAATGGCCTTGCTACTTGGAAATACTTTAAAGGGATGGCAACCAACTCTTGACTGGGTTTAAATCAACTTCTTAGGTTCATTTATTAGTCAAGAAGAATATTTTATAAATTACATTAAAAATGCTTATCCTAGGTTTTATAAAACATGTTACTCCCTCTTTTATTTGGATATAACCTTCTAGTTGCATCTGAAGGACTGAAAGAGTAATTGTACTTCTGTCTGATCTTTGAAGAGACTGTGCTAGGGACGAGAAGAAAATGACCGTGTGTGTCATCTCAAAGAAGTCATGGAGATAGCTGCTCAAGGATAGTCTACCCTAATCTAGCTGTGAGCCAGAAGTTGCTCAAAATTCAATTATTTATTTGAATTTTTATTGGAAAGCTGAGAGATTTGCAAAGAGAATTAATCGGGATACACAATTTTTTATGGATGACTGCCAATAACATCAAAATGATGCCAGTAATTTAAGATTATTTGACTTTCTTTATATATAAAGGAGCCTTTTGATCACATCATGGCCTATGTGTTGTTTCTTGCTTTCTCATACTGGGAGAGCAGCTTTAATCTCTCTGCTCACAGCCCTCATCAAATGTTCATTTTGTAATAGATAAAACATTAACATTGTCAAAGGTCCTTACAGAGATATACTGCAAATGAGAGTTATGTTGCTTACCACACAAAGAAAGCTTTTGTATAATTCAAGTTGAAATAAAGCCATGCAGTATGAAGAAATACTGATAACTCTTCTGTGAGAATTGTTAWTAGCTTCTTCAGATGGTGATAGGAGGTACAAGGCCCCTTGTATTTCCTGCTGTATGACATGTTACTTTTACACAGTTTTTCCTATGATTCTACTCCATAATGACCTTCAGAAAGTAAAAACAACTGGGGACACAAGAAGTGATCTGTTAAAATAGGCCTATCTGCTCTGTCTGGCAGAGCTAGGGAGCTAGCTCCTAGCTAGGGARGTCTACTTGCTGAATTATACCTTGCTGTAAGCGGTGACATTTGCCGAATATCTTGTGTTGTTTAAATCTAAGTGTACTRAAGACTGGTCTCCATGTCACAATTTACCTGAAGTTCAGATCCTGTCGTGTTTTAGGGTTAAAGTTAAACCGCCACTAGATGAAATGCATCTCAGTGGTGGAGAGGAGCCAAAGCCTAATATGGATCTTCTGTGATAAGCCACAAGGTTTCTGCTACTCAGCAGCTGAGGTCAGCAGGTAGAGTGCCTCAAATGCCATGACCAACAGCTTGGTGAGTACCTCCATCTTTGGAGAGATGGGGATGTGTTCAGCCCCACTCAGGCTGTGAGAACTGAGCAGGAGCGTTTTGCTCTTTCACTTAGCCTGCTGAAGTTCCTGGTATATAGTAATACCCTCTATTGCCCATAGAAATACAGACTGTTATAGCAAGGTCACAGGTTCTGCCACTGCTCCTTGTAAAGACAGTGGCCAAGTCCCATGCGGGAAGGGAAGGCTCAATTATGCTCTCRTGTATACTTAGTGGGTTCCTTCCAAAGGGGGACAATTGGCAGACTGCAGCGTATGACCATCAGCCCCCGGACACCAACAGTACTTCAGGCCTCTGGCTATCCCAGGACACAWGCCAAACCAGGAGCCCGAGGAGCTCCGGAGCTACACAGCCCCTCAGGGTGGATAGGCACTGCCGGGTCACTGGCTGGTGACTCCAGCTCCTCGTACTGGACAGCCTGTTTGGTCATCCCCACAACATCATGTCATGGGCACCAAAACCATTTGCTTCTGGAACTGGACCTGTTGGCTGTCCTGCTGCAATAAATTAAACTGACAGCATGAAGTCTTTGCTGCCCTTGKGCTCCTTTCTCTCCCTGTATTACAGGTTTGGGGGGAAGTATCTTAAAAAGTATGTGTTACGGTCATTTTAGTCAAATAGCTAAAGAGAAATAGAAAAATAAAGATAAATAGAAAAAGTAAAGACTGAAGACAATCTGACTCTAGATTAGACTGAACTGTTCTGCTTGCTAATTCCCTCCAGCACACCTGCTGTAAGCATCATTTTTCTAGAGCACTTAAATATCTGTCCTGATCAGCTCTGGGCTGACAAAGGAACTGATGTCTTCCCAGGAGCCRGGCTCACTGAAGGACTCCCACTTTTCTGCATTTGTAGAAAATCAGYCACACTACTGCATTTCCTAGGAAGTTTGATAGTTTGACTTCTCAAGGACATTCATAATTTTTCTTCATAGCTGCTCAACAGATTTCACTAGCCAGTAGGGGATAAATGGGATAAATTTTATTTGTAAATGTGGTTTGAACAGTTACTATTCATGTAGCGTGGTGGATCCTGAGAAAGTTCTTTATGTCAGAGTTCTGGCACAGGTAAATCTTGCTTAGGAATTAAAATAAAATAAATGCTGCTGAGATATCATTTTTAATGCCTTTTTTTAATGAATACATGTTTTGATAGAATGCAGTAAACAAAGATGTTTTGTTAAAGGGCATGTTARCTATCTTTTTATCTTCTGAGTCAGTGGAATTTGCTATTGTAAATGTATGGCTATTGTTACATTGGGAACAGTAGGCTGCAAGCAGAACAAAAGCCAGCCTGGAAAAGTTGGAATGTGCAGTTCCCATTATCAGAAAAGCAAACACAGCATGCTTTAAGCTTCATGCCTCAATTCACAGAATCACAGAACTGCTGAGGCTGGAAGGGACCTCTGGAGATCGCCTTGTCCAGCCCCCCTGCTCAGACAGGGTCACCTAGTGCAGAACACCGAGGACTGTGTTCAGGCTCTGATGACTCCACAACTTCTCTGGGCAACCTGATCCAGCATTCAACTACCCTGAGAACTAAAAAGTTTTTTTTTTTTTAAATTTTTAATTTTTGTTTTCATATTTAAATGCTTTACTTTTCTGATTATTTATTTATTTATTATGTGCATTATTCGTTGTCCTTTGCCTGAGAAGACTCTGGCTTTGTCTTTTCTCCCTGCCGTCAGATATTACAAATATTGATAAAATTGCTCTGAGTCTTCTTTTCTCCAGATCGAACAGTCCCAGTTCTCCTCACATAAGAGATGCTCCAGTCTCTTAATCATCTTGGTGCCAGCTAGGGAATATCCCTGTGACAGCTGCCTATAAATTAACAATAGGGGATCTGTGGCACAGAGGAAGAGAAAGAAAAGGTCCCTGCACTGACTCCAGCCTGACCAGAAGCTTCTCTGTTTGACCATGCAGAGACCTTACATACAAACTGCTGGTTTGCCTCTCCGAGTCTGTAAATAATTTCTTTCTCACTTACCCCTCTCTTCTCTCCTGCAGCCCACCTTGCTCTATACCCTTTGCCAAATCTTATCTCACCTTCCCACTCTTGAATTCATGCTTTCGTAACTTCTGCTTCTAGTACTTGAAGAAATCTCCCACCTTCCATCTGCCAACTGTCTTCCTTCCTTTCTTCAAACACCAGATTTCAGGATCATTTTCCTATTTAATAATATCTCCACAGTTTCGTTGCCTGAAGTGTTCTTCCCTTACAGTTTACAGAAGTTCTTGTCTGGCATTTACAAAATCTCATTTGAATCACTGATGCCATGGAGCCAAGAAGCATCCTCTATACTAACTACTCATATCATATAATTAATTTAGGTAATCATTTTAAGACAGTTTGGCTAGTTCACATTAATACCGTTAAATCTGGGAATAACGTGCCCACAGGGCACAGCCCATTTGCTGTTCCTGCTCCCCAYTGCAATGACCTCAGAGACAGTAGATTAATTTTCTTTCCTTGTGTTAAGTATTGATTAATGCAAACAGTTCCTCAAGACTCTTTTTTTTCTTCCTCAAGACTCTCTCTGACTTGCTCTTTCACTGTAGGCATTTCACTGGGGTGAGATCCATCTCTTCTAAATTCAGGTATATACCACATCATTATCTACTTCAGSACTAAGTACACCCCAGTTTTAGGTGCAATCTTACCTGCCTCAGATACCTGCTTTATTTTAGTACGATACAAGTTTTGTTCTACAGAAGTCTATCTTTATCATTGACAATGGAAGTTGCCTAGACAAATAGCTGAACATTCAGTTATATGAATAGTTTTGACACCTAGGGCATCTCTGTGCTTTCCTCCCTGTTTATCAAACAGCTGAGTGTTTTGTGAAACTTAATTAGTGGCTTCAGAACTAAATAATTTAGATCTGGTGACTTCCAAGTAATTACGATCCAGCGGCAGAGAGAAGAATCTAGCTCTGTGTGCTCGACAGGTCCATAGCCATATGCACCTACATACATGCATATTCATATATTTATATTCCAAGTTTAATTTTAAAAGACAAGTAATAACTGGTGACTCTAACAAATTTACCATTTTTTTCCACTGGAACGTGGCAGCTGGGGCACGGCTTGGTTGTTTTCTTGATTGTTTCTTTAGAAGCCTCTTCCCATCGGGCTCGCGCGGCTGCCTCTTCATCAACCACATAACCCTGCAAAAAAAGAGAGAGAAACAAGGTCCCTCACACATCCCGCTGCAGCTTGGGCTGCATCCTCTGCCCTGCTCCCTGCCCCACGCAGCAGGTGAAGGAAGAGTCGCCGTCCAGCTGATAAGGCACAAAAACAGGTAAAAGAAGCAAAAGGCGAGGGGCAGGAGGCAGCCGGGCCCCACTGGGCTGCGGCAGCTCAGACACCAGTCCCAGGGCTTGATCCCTTCTTGCAGGAAGCGCAGAAACATGGAGACAACAGCGGCACTTCCACAGTGCGGAGCTTCTCCAGAAGGAAACTATTTTTCATAGTGACAATATATTCCTTTGTTCCTGAGGTCTGATTTCATTCGTAGATGAACCTGCCTAGACTTCTGAGGCTTTGTCAGGCACGGAGCAAAAACATACGAATTGTGGAAGAGAAGTGAAAAGAAGCTGGTGAATAATGAAAACAGCTTTCTCCCCAGATAGAACAATACTGACAGAAAAAGTCATCATAAACTGTTTTAAAAGGGACTATGGGGTTTGCCCTATTTATGACTGGGCCAAAATTACATAATCGACACAAATGCCCTACTTGGCAATTTCCTACTTAAAATGATAATACAAGGGCAAAAGAGATGGCAGTGCCTTGAGTAATTTCTATCCCACAAGGTTGGAAACTATGTGCATAGTAGCTATATACAATGTGTTCAGGTCGCTGCCTCAAAGTCCTGCTCTAGCTATATTGTATTTTTTTTCAATGCGTGGGAACATTAAAAACTTAAACTAAAGCACATTCTCTGTATAAATTCCTGCAGCCTCTTTGTGTTTAAACATTCCAAAGACTTGTACATTGTTCTATGGATAACCTTTTTATATTCATTTACATTACATAGATTTTGCAAATATATTTTGCAAGAAGACAGTAAAAGGAAAAGGCCCAAGTTTGTAATATATAACATAAATTCCTTGCTATGGATTTGTCCCCAGCTGCTATAAAACTGCGACCTATTGTGCTGTCAGTGAGTGAGACCTAGATTTTATTCCTTGGATGAAATCACCAGAGGTAAGATGGAATAGCACAAAGCAACATCTTGTGCAATTCAGCTCTAGCTCATCTAGAGGCCATTTGAAAAATAAAGCCATTTTCAATCAGGAAATCTCTAAAATATTCTTTGTTCTATTTTTTTYCCTATTATTCTTTTATTTTACTACCTAAATCAGTCTTCGTAGTCCCTTAATGGCTTTATTGCTTTCTTGGTCCTTGCTTAATATTATTCATTTTCTAGCATTTTTGACATAGAGGTGACAAAAACGAACAACGTCCTCTCAGCTCTGTCCCTCCTCTGGCAAGGGAGTTGGTAGAGCTTGGGCTCTGCATGCTAGTGAATTATTCAGCACTTTGGAGGGAGGTGCCCATATTTTATATTTGTGTCTCGAGCCCGGCTTTTGAGGAAGCCCAGCAGTGTGCAATCAGCCAAGCAGTTTCAGGGCCACCGCAGGATGCAGAGCGGTCTCCTCTCACGTACAGCAGTGCTGAATAAAATGACCTCTACAGAACGGTACATTAGCAAGTTCCTGGAAATAAGAAAAGCTACTCAGGGTAATRGCAAAGAACCTGATCTTGCAGAACTATTGATCTTGCAACACCTTGAGCTTTAAAGAGGAACGACTTCAGAGAACAACTGATCTGCACAAGCTGGAGAGGCCCAGACACAAGGGGAGGAGAATGAGGAGCACTAGAATGAGGAGAATGAGGAGCATTAGACCTCAGTTCGCACAGGGACGGGATGAGGAGCATTTGCATTTCACCCATTGTAACGGGAATTAATGAATTAATGTCAGTAAAGATGTTTCAAGATAAAAATCATTGTAGCAGTGAGAAAGCACATCACTATTATTTGCAGAATATTATCCACACAAGAAGAGCAGATATATTTTTATTTTTTTGTATTCAGTCCAGAAGAGCTTCACAGTGGCTATGTTTTTTTTTCAAATAGGCCAAATCCCAACTGCATGATTCAGTACTTAGAAGCATACTTTTTCCACATCTTCATGCATTTGTTGTGCGCTAATAGCAAATGACACCGAGGCATAGTTTAACATGCCAAACTACTAACTTGATTAGTATAAAGATATTTTGTCTTAGTTTTGAAAACAAATACAAACTTGGGACAGCTTAGAAATAATTAAAATAAACAAGTGTAAACCACACATAGCCAAGTCACTGAGGGAGAATAAACTGATGAAAACAGCAGAGTGCATTATCATATTAATGTTTTCCATCACAAGAATTCCAGCATGAAATTGATGCAGCGGTGTGAAAAAATTCAGGCAATTAGAGCTGCAACTTCCTTTCTATGCCCAGTTTCTTGCTGAATGCAGAGTTAAAAACTTCCTGCTGCAGAAAACCGATGCAGAGAAATGGTGCATAGTAACCTGAGTCCCTTTGATTCAGCATATAAATCATACCACACTGATCAATCAGCTTCAAGTGTTTATGTTCTTTACATAGTGCTCTGGGTACAATGACTGCAAACTCGCATATATTTTATCTTCATTTGCTTCCTCAAGTGACAAGAAGGTTGCATGGTAGAGCCAGCTTCTCAAAAGCACTGAGCTCTGCCTCAATAGTCCTCCCCACAAAGCCCAAATGAGAATAAAAAACATTTTCCGCAATGGTAGGTGCTGTCACTTGGTCACATCTCAAGCTTTTCTCTTCCTCCCTCTTTTTAAACTGCTACACGAAATCACTCCCATCAAGCCAGAGACAGAATCCACTGCTTTGATATCTTCTTTGTTGATGCTCTGATCACTGATGATCTTGTGCTCTAAGAACGCTGCAGGATGTCACTATTGCATGATGAAGAAGGACTTTGATTAGTGCAACACTCTGATTTATGTCTGCCAGAGCCCTTGGGAACTGCTTCTTGTGTTCATAAGACCATGTGGAGGATTTTTGGACAGTCATGAGTAAGAACTTACTAAGAAGAGTGGTGGTTCTGCTCCTCTCCGCCTTTCTTCCTCCTCTAAAAGAATATTTTAAGAGAAGATCAAGATCTTTGTCTCTGCATGACAGAGACACGAATAGGGGAAAAATAAAAGAAACTAAGAATAAAGAGATAAAAAACAGTGGGGTTTCTAATTCCCAGGTTCATAATACCACTATAGCTCTTTTTTTGTATGTGTTATTAAATTATAAAGGAATTCTGAAGGCAATATGGGCCACAATACATAGAACATCCTATTGTAAAATAACCTAGTAAAATGCACCAGGGAATTCAAAATCCTCCTCTTGAATAAGTACTTTTCTCCATGATCTTATGTACGCTCAGTCTATGATAAGAAAGATTTTATTATTTTCAGATTTTTATTATCAGGTTGAGCCGTAATAAATGAAATGAAGACTCAAGATCTGTACAAAATATTTTGATTTTATGTTTTGTTTTCAGGACCATACTCTGCCAACAAAGGGATTTTTACTTTTGGCAATGCCCTTGAAACTTACTGGTCCCACTACAGTGGTCCTACTACACTGCAGTACTTTGGAACGGTAACAGACTCTGGACTCCTTGATACTAATTTATGTGGTAGCTACAGGACCTGCATGCATGGGTGTAAATCAGAGAACACTAGATAGTAGGTTATTAGTTATCAGATCCACATTCTCCACTGAATCATGACGGGTTTTTCACTAGCAAAGAACCTTGGGAGAGAAGAAATCATGGGCAAGCAAGGTGCTCAGCTGGAAGAGGTCTGCTCTTTGCATGTGAATATGTGTATGTATACGTGTATAGGTGCCTCATACATAAATAGTTTCCAGGACTGGAGGAAATTCATGCCTGTCTTATCCAGAAGGCACAATTCTAAGAAGTTCTTTACTACGAGTGATTACTGAAAACCCTGTTTTCCATTCCTAGGTAGCAATCCTTATCTCCTTGACAAACATCTAGCTATAATAAAACAGGTCTACCAACTACAGACTGCTCATGTATTATTTGGCCTACCTTGTCTCAGACAACAAACTCAGAGATTCCAGCTGTGCATCACAAATTAGCTCATCTAGGACCAAAGACACACTCGTGATGACAACTCCACACAATTATTCCCCAATTATTACAGAGTTTTGGTCACAGTTATCATGAAAAAATGAGCAGAATCTCTCCATTCCCCTTCATTCCCCTGGAGACAAAGAAGGAAAAGTCCATGTTGGTATCTCTCATATCCCACCTTGAAAGATTTGTTTTTTTCCAAAGGACTCAGCAAAGAAACAGAATGGAAATAAACCTACCAGGGACGGAGAGTAGAGAGATTGCTGAGCACCATACTGCAATATAAGAACATGTACATGGAAAGCTCTCTATGAGCTTAATCAATATCAGGTATCACGGAAAAGAAGTGCTACAGAGGCAAAAGCATCTCAAAATAGAAACAAAGCATCCCACTTAAAGTAGTGTCTCACTCAGGTAATAGAGCATACATTGACTGGTCAGCAGAATACATACAGCAAACAAGCTTGTCTGTTGGTCAGCAACTAAGCAACACCATCCAATAATATTGTAATAGCATTTACAGTAAAACTTCTCCAAGGTTATTGCGAGCATAACACATAATGTTCAACTCAGATATCCGCTTATATACACTTATGTATACACTTATGTAACCACACTCTTTTATGATCATGCTTATTTTGGCTATCGTAGGCAGCATCTAAAAACTGAAAACCCTCGATTCAGAATACAGTAGGATCGTGTAAACATTGGATTTTGCTTAACTTTGGTGAAATGTATTTTCTGAACTCCTGCTTGATTGTTGCTATTCAATTCCATTCTGGCAGGCAAAAAAGCTGGCCATGTATAATTTTAAATAATGTATGGTTTCTTTCAGAAACACTTGATGTTATTTTTCTTTGGAAATCATGATTTTTAAAAAATAAACTTTGTAAAATTATGACTTAATGTGAAATGCAGCATTTTTCAAAAGACCTAAATGTCTTGAAACAGCAAATACTACTCATTTTCTAG